AGCAGATAAAAAATGATGTTCTGTGGCAGCAAAAAAGAGCCCAAAAACCCCCCAGTCGAAATTAAGAAAAAAAAAAAAAAAAAAAATGCAGTCCATTCCTAATTTTATCTTAAGCAGACATGAATGACTCATCACAATTAGAAGAGTTTATGAGCAACCTAATTTACCATAATCTGCTGACTACCAGTGATTTTTGAGATGCAGTAAAAACAAAGCAAAACAAAACAAAACAAAAAAAAAAAAAAAGTTGCACATCGAGTTGGCTTCTTGGACAAGACCAAAACAGAAGGCATTAGAGACGACTTTATTTAGGTTTCCTCTCATGCTAAAGTTAGAGCAATGCAGAGCCGAGAGCTGTCTCAAAAGTGGAACTGAGTGCATTTCACATTTTATTAATCGACTAAAATAGCAAAAGTCAATTAAATGCATGCAAAAGGAAACCCAGCTTAAAATAATGAATTTACTGGGAGGTGCTAGTAACAGCTTTCAACTTGAACAAAGTAATTCCAGCTATTTAGCAAAGAATAAATTAGGTTTGATTCACTTTGTCACCGAAATGAAGCAAGTAATAAGACTAAATTTAGATAAAAAAAAAATATATATATATATTTTTTGATTTTCAATCAAACTATAACCCTCTTTGAAATGCTTTGCCCATATTTGAGCTCTACAGTAAAACTATTTTTGAGAACCGTGTCTACCAAACGATTAACATGCGTTACAAATGGTGAAATTAATACACAGCAATATGTCGCTTAGCACAAGAATAGACAGTTTTATTTGTTGTTTGAGACATTATCTGGCAGGAGTGACAAAGAAACCAAAACGAAGCAACTTTTGGCAGTAGAAAAAAAAAATTCTCACCAATGCAATTCACAGAGAAGCACAATTTGCCTTGCACTACACATGTACTAAAGTCATCTGTTATAAATAGACTTAAAACAACCAGATTAATGATAATGTATGCGTTTCCTTTCATTTGTGTCTTGTGGCTGTGTAGCAATTAGACAATGCAGAACAATTAATTATGAACCGAATAATGTAATCAAACATGTTAACTTGGAAGGTAGTTAAGATAATTGTCACTGACTTTTCCATAAAGGGGAATCCGACAGGTTTGCCCATCTGTCCACCTGGATTTGGCATCGTTTGATCCCCTTTACCTGCAAAGGTAAAGAATTAATTGTGTTTTTAACTTGAGAGTTATTCATCTGTGTTGGTTCAGAAGTAAGTGAAAGTAGCATTTAAAGCTATAAAATATTCATCATTAGTGGGATTTCATAAGCAGGAAAGAGACTACAATCAAAATATTTTAGGAAGTCTATTCAGAGGAGGATGTCCAGAAATAATCAAATAAGAAAATATATTTCAGTATATATGAAGATTTTAAAATGTCAACATTTTCCTCTCAACAAAGACTGTCAACATTACATTTAACCTACTTCTTTAATTAAGCCTGAGATCATCTATCATCTCTGTACAATTATCTGGTGCACAACATGGGAACATCAACATTTCATAAGTGATGAAAGACAAGTTGCAGGGATGAAACTATTGAAAGTTGCAACGGTTTTATTTTTGTCTGTACTCTTACTTGCATCCATGATGACCAAATGTCACTGCCTTCCTCTGTAAAAAAATAAAAAAAAATAAAACATTAAACATAATTCCATATAATGGTAGTTATTAGAAGCCTTAATAAAAGCTAGAATTGGAGTAAACAGTTCAGGACAATGACAAAACCACAAAGTGATGGTGAAAAATAGATGTTGACATGTCTTTGGCTACAATTGCCAAAGACTCAAAAACAAACTTATAATATTTGGTACACAATATGAAACATAAGAGAAACATCCCAAATACATTCATTGTGCATTTTCATTCAGTCCTCTTATTGATATAAACCAAGGTTAATTTAGTTAAAGATCAGTAGATTTGTTTTAAATCAAGTAAGCGGTCTATTAATCTATTTAGCTCTTTAGACTAAAAATGTCTACCGATTTCATACCTGGGAAACGTGTTTAAATCCAGAGCAGACTGTAAAGAATTCATAGCTTAATTTAATTGTTTTTCAAAGGACAACAACTTGTTTCTTTTGAAAAACGATGTCAGCAAAGTGGTTTTTCAACAGTAAACATAACACTGTGATAAAATATGGTAAGGCAAGTTGGGCTTGCAGATTTCAAGGTAGATTGGAGTGTTGAGCAACAATCCGATGACGCATTGACATAATGACAGGAGCTCTAAAGCTAGCATCTCTGTTTTTACGACATAAAAACGTCTAACGATGACTGTGAGTTACTGTGGATTTCAAGATAAATAAATATGCAGCGTTCTATCCTTCTTTCAAAATATCAAAAAGCAATTATAACAAATCCCTATACTGGTATGGGCGGTTCCAAACATCTAACGGCGTGCTAAGAACAACGTTTTAGCAAACAAAACGAGACAAGCTTAACCCTATTATTTCTTCGATTGCTAGTTAGTATACGGGCATGGAAACAGGAACCTTAAATACAATACAGTTTTCATTATGTGACTTAATTAAGCTGGCTGATGACCGTTTAATGTTACTAGCCGGCCGCTATAAAAAGCTAATATCTAGCAACGGTTAGCTCGCGGGTTAATAAAAGGAAAGGGGTTTATGAAAACCGAGACGAAGACACTTCACTGCGTTTTACTAAATACCTTATAGGGTCGATGAATGATGTTCGGAAGAAACGATAAATGCTCTTGGTGATTAAGTATGCAACATTTCGACAAGCTTACCTTTATCAAGCTAGTCTCCTCGCTCACGCGTCTACGGTGCTAGCACCACGAGCAAGAAACACACGCGTCCCAGCATCCCGCACTCTGATTGGACAGTTGATGAAAGTGAGAGTTGTGCTGCATTCAAGTGCCGTGCAACAATTTATTTTGCAAAAACATCCACGGAATTAAAATGTATGTTTCCTCTGCAGGAACTAGGATGGTTACAGATTAGTAGCTAACACATTTATTATTATTATTATTATTATTATTATTATTATTATTATTATTATTATTTGCAACACACAACTTTATTTATAGTATCGCCTGCTTATTTTGGAGAAGAATAGAGAACAGAATAGAACAAATCTTTATTTCCCTTAATAGTGAAATTCAAGTCCACCAGCAGCAAAGTGACAGGCAAATCGAAGCAGGTAGATTTAAACAAAGAAAAAATATATCAAGACAAAAAGTAAGAATAGCAGATTGTACAGAAAGGGCAAATGTTCATGGTAGCATACTCTGATTTCAAAGAAATGTGCAACTAAGTAGCATGATTTTAAAAATATACAAAATATGCATGTGTATTTGTAGATAAACAACAAGAACAGCAACAACAACAGACTATTTACATGAAGTAAAACAAAAACAATTGCAAAGGATCACATATGAGTTTTTATTTGTTGGATAGTGGCACTTTTGATATATTTAAGCATTTAATTAATAGTCAAGGAAAGTCTTAAAGCAATTAAAAATTTATGCCAATGTCTTAATTGAAAATAAGACATTGCGACTTATTCCCAATGTCTTTTCCTAAAATTTTTATATTACAATACATTTATATTTAAGTGTTTATTTATTTAATTATTTAGTTGCTGAATTGTGAAATTTTTGGGTCATCAATACTTTCACAGTCTCTTTCAACCTGGATTATGACAATGAGTAACCAGAAGAAGATACAAATAAACTTGGTTTCACATTGTCCATATCGCATGCACACCACTAGAGGGCTCCTTCTACCTATGTTTTGTAACAAACAAAATTGCTTAAGGGTTTTGAAACCGAAAGGGCTAATGTTTTTTTTTTTTTTTTTTTTTTTTTTTTTCAAAAAAAAAAAAAAAAATTTTTTTATCCTTTAAAAAAAAGGTGTTTTCCTCT